AAAAGAAAAAGAAAAAGAAAAAAAGAGAAGAAGGAAGGAAGGAAGGAAGGAAGGAAGGAAGGAAGGAAGGAAGGAAGGAAGGAAGGAAGGAGGAAGGGCAGAGAAGGGGAAGGGGGAAAGAAGGAAAGAAGGAAGGAAGGAAGGAAGGGGGAAGGTAAAAGGGAAGGAAGGAAGAAAAAAAGGAAGAAATTGAAAGAATGAAAGAAAGAGTAGGAGAAAAAGAAAGAGAGAGACAGAGAAAAAAGGAAGGAAAGAAGGAAGGAAGGGGGAAGGTAAAAGGGAAGGAAGAAAGAAAAGAAAGAGAAATTGAAAGAAAGAAAGAGAAAGAAAGAGTAGGAGAGAAAGAATGAGAGAGACAGAGAGAAAAGGAAGGAAAGAAGGAAGGAAGGGGGAAGGTAAAAGGGAAGGAAGGAAGAAAAGAAAGAAAGAAATTGAAAGAATGAAAGAGAAAGACAGAGTAGGAGAGAAAGAATGAGAGAAACAGAGAGAAAAGGAAGGAAAGAAAGAAGGAAGGTGGAAGGTAAAAGGGAAGAAAGAAAGAAAGAAAGAAAGAAAGAGTAGGAGAGAAAGAATGAGAGAAACAGAGAGAAAAGGAAGGAAAGAAGGAAGGAAGGAGGAAGGAAAAAGGAAAGGAAGGAAGAAAGAAAAGGAAGAAAGAAAAAGAAAGAAAGAAAGAGAAAGACAGTAGGAGAGAAAGAATGAGAGAAACAGAGAGAAAAGGAAGGAAAGAAGGAAGGAAGGTGGAAGGTAAAAGGGAAGGAAGAAAGAAAAGAAAGAAAGAAATTGAAAGAATGAAAGAGTAAGAGAGAAAGAAAGAGACAGAGAGAAAAGCAAGGAAGGAAGGAAGGAAGGGGAAAAAATAGAAATAGAAATAATAGAAATAGAAATACCACAATCTCTTCTCCCTGGTCAGCTGAACTTTCACTGAACAAGCCCCACATTGTCTGGTGGGTCAATCCACCCCTTGAAGCGGAAAAGACCGGCTTGAGCTCCAGAGGAACAAACTATGGTCCAACATCCCCCACTTTCTCGCTGCCATCCAGCATCCATCTTAAGCCAAGCTGCTGATTCTCGGAGGGGAGGGGGGCACCCGGCCCTTAAGCCTGCCAGGAAATGCCCGGGCAGCTCTGGTTTTTTTCACCCAGGCCGTCAAAAAACACCCAACCACTGCCCAGAAAAAAGAGTTTTATCTCTGGATCTGGGCAAAGTGGGGGACAGGTAGGGCTGTACCCCAATAATTGGGCATCACCTCCCTTCCTCATGCCCAGATGCTTCAAGGCATCCAATCCACCCAGCCTCTTTTCCTTGCCTTGGCACATCCGTGCCCCCCTTTTTCTTCTGAATGCTAAAAACATTGCAAAGAGGGGGGGGGTTTGCGAGGGCCCCCCATTTTTAAAGGCTTTTTCAGCTGCAAACATCGCCTCGTCTTCCAACATCCCTGCCTGCCACTCCTGAAACGGGGATCAACTCTCCTGATGCTTCTTTTCCCAACGGGAAACAAATCAGACCGGCCAGATGGATGCCAAGATCTGTTGGGGGGCCCCCCAGCTTCCTCCAGTAGGGGTTTCCCCCTTCCTAACCCCCCAAAATCCAGTCTGCTGGGCAAGGCCCGGGAGGGGTTAACTTACCGCTGGTCCAGCCACCCGGTTTTCCAAGGAGCGGAGGAGTTAAAAGGACAAAAAACAGGCTGGCATTTTGGGGTTCGGGAGTGTCTCCAAGCTAGCTCCAAATTCCGGGAAGCAGAGGTGGGGTCGGGTCTCTCCTCTGTCCCCCCCCCCAAAAAGCTGGACCCCGTTTTAAGGGCAGCGCCTCTCTGAGAAGGTTACAGAGCATCCAGCGAGAAAATCTGGAAGGCAGAGGTTTGCTGGGTCCTAGCGTGTGTCTTTTTCTCTCTGCTTCCCCCCTTTCTCCTCCTCCTCCTCCTCCTCTCCTCCTCCTCTCCTCCTCCTCATCCGCCTGCTGTGCCCTGATCCAATTTCAGCAGCTTCCAAAAAGGGAATGCCTAAGACTTTTCCTCCCAAGGGATGGCAGCTGACGGGGACGTGGCGAGAAGATGGCCAGGCTGTTCCCAGGTTTTCGGTCTCTTTTTCGGCTTGGAGGAAAGGATTTTAGAATAGAATAGAATAGAATAGAATAGAATAGAAATAAGGAGTGGAGTGGAATGGAGTGGAATAGAATAGAATAGAATAGAATAGAATAGAATAGAATAGAATAGAATAGAATAGAATAGAATAGAATAGAATAGAAATACAGTAGAATAGAAATACAGTAGAATAGAATAGAATAGAATAGAATAGAAGAGAAGAGAAGAGAAGAGAATGGAATAGTTGGAAGGGACCTTGGAGGTCTTCTAGTCCAGCCCCCTGCTCAAGCAGGAGAACCTATACCATCTCAAGACAGGTGATTGTCTAGTCTCTTCTTAAAAATCTCCAGTGATGGAACGCCCACAATTTCTGGTGGCAAGCTGTTCCACTGGTTGATTATCCCTACTCTCAGGAAGTTTCTCCTTAATTCCAGGTTGCTTCTCTCCTTGATCAGTTTCCAACCATTGTTCCTTGCCCTGCCCTCTGGTGCTTTGGAGAATACCGTGACCCCCCTCTTCCTTGTGGCAACCCCCCAGATAGTGGAACACTGCTATCATGTCTCCCCTATTTCTTCTTTTCCATAGACTAGCCAGACCCAAATCCTGTAGCCGTTCTTCGTATGTTTTGGTCTCCAGGCTTTGGATCAAATCCAGAAAACTGCAGCAAGAAAAGACAAGTTCCGAGTTTAAACAGCACTCAGAATGTGAAATTGCTGCATACAAACCAACTACGGTTCAACCGAACAATGATAGACAAGCAATCCATGGGTTATCTCAGCCTCCAGAAACTGGAATACAAACAGATTTGCACAAATGTCCCAGCAAACCTTTGGGTTGAGAGTTTATTAGTTTGGCACGGATCCGAAGATATTGGTGACTGATGACAGCCAAGGATGGCAGGAGGGAAACTGAGGAAGCCGTAAGTAGACAAGGCCTACGGAAGTGTGTAAATACATACAGAGGGAGGATTCCCACATATACATTGAGAAGTGAAGTTTGCAGAACTGAAGAAAGGAAGGAAGGAAGGAAGGAAGGAAGAGAAAGAAAGAAAGAAAGAAAGAAAGAAAGAAAAGAGGAAGAGGGGAGGAAGGGAAAGGAAGGGAAAGGGGGAAGGAAACAAACAAGAGGCAGAAGAATAAACCAAATTTATTGATATTGGTGATTGATGACAGCCAAGGATGGAAGGAGGGAAACTGAGGAAGCCGTAAGTAGACAAGGCCTATGGAGGTGTGTAAGGAGGGAAACTGAGGAAGCCATAAGTAGACAAGGCCTACAGATGTTTGTAAACACACACAGAGGGAGGATTCCAACATATACATTGAGAAGTCCAGTTTGCAGAAGAAACTGAAGATAGAAAGAAAGAAAGAAAGAAAGAAAAAGAAAAAAAGAAAGAGAGAAAGAAAGAAAGAAAGAAAGAAAGAGAAAGAAAGAAAGAAAGAAAGAAAGAAAGAAAGAAAGAAAGAAAGAAAGAAAGAAAGATGAAGCGAAGGGAAGGGAAAGGAAGGGAAAGGGGGAAGGAAGGAAAGGAAGGAAGGGCAGGGAAGGGGGAAGGAAAGATGGAGAAGGGGAAGGAAACAAGCAAGAGGCAGAAGAATAAACCAAATTTATTGAAAATGTATTTCTAAGCCACAGTTGAATCCCTCCTGAATCTGCCCTAACCCCCCCCCCACTCCAAATTCTCCTGTTGTTCCCTCCCCAGTTTTTGCTGCTGCTGCTGCAGACTGTCTGCCACAGAGGACCAAACAAAGATTGGGGGCGGAAGGAGGGCAACCTGAACCCATCTCCCTGTCCTTGAAAGAAGCCCCATCACAGCATCCCCATCATCCCGGGATCGGAATCTGGTTGCTGGGCAACCAGCAGGCGTTTCCAAGGGTTACAGCATCCCGGGACACCTGACCGCCTTCCCATTCGGCTTCTGACCACCGAAATCAACGGGAGAAGCCAGCTTCGCTTATGGACCGTGTGATTGGCTTACCAGCCAACCCTGGGGGGAAAATCACTTAACAACCGCCTTGCTTAGCAACGGACATCCCGCTGCCGAACGTGGTCGTAATTTGAGGACTGCTTGTGCTCAATCCTCTGGGCTCAGGAGAGCTGGTAAAGAGGCCACTGGAGGGTGGATATGATGATGGAAAGAAGCCACGTTAGGTCTAGCTAAGCTGTAAACAAGCCAGTGTAGACTGGTTGAGTTAAACATCCGAGTCGATTTTGGACTTTTGACATACCGGATTTCCTTCCGTGGTTCTGCCCAAGTATTGCAAATTTTACCAAGTTAAAAGAGGGCAGCAGAGATTAAATAGGATCTGTGTGTGTGTGTGTGTGTGTGTGTGTGTCTGTCTCTCTCTCTCTCTCTCTCTTCTCTCTTTTTCTCCCCCTCTCTCTTTCTTTCTCTCTGTCTCCTTCTCTCCCCCCTTTCTTTCTCTCTCTGTCTCTCTCTCTCTCTTTCTCTCTCTGTCTCTCTCCTCTCTGTCTCTTTCTTCCCCCCTCTCTCTGTCTCTCTCTGTCTCTCTCTCTTTCTTTCTTTCTCTTTCCTCTCTCTCTCCTCTCTCTTTCTCTCCCCCTCTTTCTCTCTTTCTCTGTCTCTTTCTCTCTGTCTCTCTCCTCTCTGTCTCTTTCTCTCCCCCCTCTCTGTCTCTCTCTCTCTCTTTCTTTCTCTTTCCTCTCTCTCTCTCTCTCCTCTGTCTCTCTTTCTCTCCCCTTTCTCTTTCTCTCTTTCCCTCTTTCTCTCTCCTCTCTCTTTCTCTCCCCCTTTTTCCCTTTCTTTCTTTCTTTCTTTCTCTCTCTCTCTCTCTCCCCCTCTTTCTTTCTCTCTCTCCTCTATCTCTCTTTCTCTCCCTTCTCTCTTTCTCTCTCCTCTCTCTTTCTCTCCCCCTTCTTTCTTTCTTTCTTTCTTTCTTTCCTCTCCCTCCCTCTCTCTCTCTCTCTGCTTTCGTGGTGGTTGTGCCTTTAATTTTCAGGGAGGGCTTTTGCAACACAAAAACATCAAAATCTCCTTCTTCTCGATTCAACCCTCCAGAATCTGCCTGAAAGAGGAAGCTGCCTTAAGAGCATCAAACCTCAGCATTTGACAAGAGCATTTCTGTTTGCTGTGCAAGGACCGTAACACGTCAGCAGGCACAGAGGAAATAATAAAAAACAAAACAGGAAGAATGTGCAGTCTCTCAGCGGAAGTTAAAAATCGGTAGTCAACAGAAGAAGGAGGAGAGATGTTTGGATCACTCAGACGTCGTCCTTCCGTGCAAGTTTTCTGCAACGCCGTAATTACTCCGGCCTCCCCACGTGGCAAAGCTTCAGCCAGCCAGCCACAAATAGCCCCTTCTACCCATCGGACCATGACGGATGAGTGAAGATAATGTTCCTTTTCTTGGCCCAGCGAGAAAAAATGGCCTTCTCGGTGATGAAACGGTGCCCGCCGTGGGCAGCTTGTTCATGGACCTGGTACATCTGGCATTCGTCCAGCCGCCCCTTCTCAAAATAGTGGTAAGGCACCAGAGGCTGGTTCTTGTCTCTGCCAATCGAAGGAGCCAAGTTTAAACCACTATATATAGCCCGGCCTGTTAAGAACCGACATGCAGCAGTGATATTCCCTCAAAGTCAGCTTGAAATAACTGGCCATTATAAAACAAAAAAGACTGATTCAGGCCATAGAGAATAGAATAGAATAGAATAGAATAGAATAGAATAGAGTAGAGTAGAGTAGAGTAGAGTAGAGTAGAGTAGAGTAGAGTAGAGTAGAGTAGAAAATAGAATATGGAATAGAATAGAATAGAGTAGAGTAGAGTAGAGTAGAGTAGAGTAGAGTAGAGTAGAGTAGAGTAGAGTAGAGAATAGAATATGGAACAGTAGAGTAGAGTAGAATATGAAATAGAATAGAATAGAATAGAATAGAATAGAATAGAATAGAATAGAATAGGAGAATGAATGGAATATGGAATATGGAATAGAATAAAATATGGAATATGAAATATGAAATAGAAATAGAATGGAATGGAATGGAAAATGGAACAGAATAAAATATGGAATATGGAAATATGAAATAGAGGAGAGGAGAGGAGAGGAGAGGAGAGAAGAGGAGAAGAGAAGAGAAGAGAAGAGAAGAGAATAAACAGAGTTGGAAGGGACCTTATAGGTCATCTAGTCCAACCCCCCACCTCACCCAAGCAGGAGACTCTACACCATTTCTGATAGATGGCAGTCCTGACTCTTCTTGAACACTTCCAGTGATGAAGCTCCCACAACTTCTGTAGGCAACTCCTGTTCCATTGGTTGATTTCTTTTGTTATTGTTACCTGGGGAAGAACATCTCCACCCTGGCCACCAAGACCTGAAAGTGTAGCCTCCCAGGGATCAAGATCATCTTGGAGATGTTCTCTACCTCTCCATCCTGGCCACCAAGACCTCAAAGCATTGTCTCCCAAGATGTAAGGAATCAAGATCATCTTGCAGATGTTCTTCACTTCTCCACCCTGGCCACCAAGACCTCAAAGCGTAGCCTCCCAAGATGGAAGGGCTCAAGATAATCTTGGAGATGCTTTCCACCCTGGCCACCAAGACCTCAAAGCATAGCCTCCTGAGATGGAAAGGATCAAGATCACCTTGGAGATGTTCTCCACCTCTCCACCTTGGCCACCAAGACCTCAAAGCGTAGCCTCCCAAGATGGAAGGGATCAAGAGAAGGATGGTCTCATCTGCTTTCCAGCCCAGGAAGGCCACCTCCGAATTACTTACTTGCAGTGGTTCTCACTGACCATGCCGAAGACGAAAATCTGCTCGCACAACTCCATCGCCAAAACCATGGTGAACCAGCCGGTGCTGAGGAAGGAACCGGACTTCATCCTGCAGGTTGGAAAGAGAAGATGCTGAGATATGATGCAGGAGGAATCAAGGCGAAGCTCTGCCAGATGCTTGATGGTGGGTTTGCCCAAGGAGCTAAGCCCCGGTTGTTTAATCACATCCTGGGTTGTATAAACAGAGGCACAGAATCAAGATCACGCAAAGTATTAGCACCACTAGTAAGGCCACACCTGGAATACTCCAGCCAATTTTGGTCACCGTACTACAAAAAAAGATGTTGAGACTTTGGAAAAAGTTCAGAGAAGAGCAACTAAGACGATCCAAGGCCAGGAGACCAAAACATATGAAGAACGGCTGCAGGATTTGGGAATGGCCAGTCTAGAGAAAAGAAGGACTGGGGGGGACATGATAGCAGGATTCCAGTATTTGAAGGGCTGCCACAAAGAAGAGGGGGTCAACTTATTTTCCAAAGCACCAGAAGGCAGGACAAGAAACAATGGATGGAAACTAATCAAGGAGAGAAGCAACCTGGAACTAAGGAGAAACTTCCTAACAGTGGGAACAACCAGTGGAACCACTTGCCACCAGAAGTTGTGGGTGCTCCATCACTGGAGGTTTTTAAGAAGAGACTGGACAGCCACTCATCTGAAAAGGTATAGGGTCTTCTGCTTGAGCAGGGGGCTGGACTAGAAGACCTCCAAGGTCCCTTCCAGCTCTATTCTGCAAACAGGGATCACATGACCCCCAGGACACTGCGACCGTCATAAACATGAAGCAGTTGCTAAGCCTCTGAATTTCGATCCCATGATCATGGGGATGCTGCAAAGGCCCTAGCTGTGAAAAATGGTGATAAGTCACTTTTTTCTCTGCCGTTGTAACAGCCACTGAACAAACAGTTGTGAGTCGAGGACTAGCTGAAGAAAACAACAGCGTTCTAAAAGTTCTAAAACAAGAACCTGTGACTCAACATTATGAGCGCTTCGGTCCTCACGTGCTACCTTGAATTCCACCAGCCGCTCCACTTCTTCCAAGCTTTCCATGAGGTCACCAAGCACGGAAGCCGGGAGGTCCTTCTGCTCACCTATTTTTCCCCGTCTCCAGTTGAAAGAGCTCATCGCAGTGGGCCATCATTTTCTCGGTGAGCGTGTAGAGACGCAAGGCCGGATACATCTCCTTGACCTTCGCCAGCATCCGATAGACCAAGCCGATCTTCTCCCGCCTCATCAACCTGGGAGGACCCCAGATGATGTAGGTGGTGTCGCAGGACTGCTTGAAGAAGTAGCTCTGGTTGCGTAGCAGCAAAGGGATGCTGGTGTGGGAGACCACCCGGAGGGTGCTACGGCTGCCCACATCTTCCTCGTAGCCCTGGGTGGGCGCCTGGTTCATACGCAGGACGCATTCCTTGGCGTCAATCTCCTTCCCCGAACGGGAACCCAGCATCTGTCCAGAACTGGACACCACGGCGCACTGGCGGCAGGGCACCTGGGCCAGGGGCTAACCAGAAGGGACAGAAAAAATTAGAAGATGTGTGGAGAACAGGCCGTAGCATTGCTCTCTACACTAGAGGTCCCCAACCCTGGTCCGTGGACCGGTACCGGGCCGCGGCATGCCAGCAACCAGTCCACACAAACAAGCAAAGCCCCATCCGCGGGATGCAGGCAGCAGACAAAATCACGCACTCTCCGGTCCGTGGAAAAACCTTTCTCCACAGAATCGGTCCCTGGGACCCAAAAGTTCGGGGACCTCTGTTCTAGGCTAAAATTGGGGAGGGGGATTCTTCGGCCAAGAGATTTCTCCCCCTCTACCAATGTTCAATTTTCTTTCCCACCTTTTCTCCGAACTGGCTTTGCGACGTAGTCAATTCCGAACGGTTATATAATATTATAACCCAACTTCAAGATGTGTGGATTTCAATTCCCAGAATTCATTTAAGTCTGGGAGTTGAAGTCCACACGTATTAAAAATTGTCATGGTGGAGGAACACCACTCTAAGCAATGAACTTCAAATTTCATAGGAAGGAAGGAAGGAAGGGAGGAAGGAAGGAAGGAAGGAAGGAAGGAAGGAAGGAAGGAAGGAAGGAAGGAAGGAAGGAAGGAAGGAAGGAAGGAAGGAAGGAAGGAAGGAAGGAAGGAAGGAAGGAAGGAGTTGGAGAGGGAACATTGCTTTTAATACCAAAAAGAAAAGAAAGAATTTAATGAAAAACAGAATAAAATATATAAAAATGGGATGGATGGATGGACGGACGGACGGACGGACGGACGGAAGGGAAGGAAGGAAGGAAGGAAGGAAGGAAGGAAGGAAGGAGTTGGAGAGGGAACAAAGGATTGCTTTTAATACCAAAAAGAAAAGAAAGAAGATAATGAAAAACAGAACAAAACATATAAAAATGGGATGGATGGATGGAAGGAAAGGAAGGAAGGAAGGAAGGAAGGAAGGAAGGAAGGAAGGAAGGAAGGAAGGAAGGAAGGAAGGAAGGAAGGAAGGAAGGAAGGAAGGAAATGTGGACTTCAGTTCCCCAATTCTCCTGGCTGGGGAATTCTGGGAATTCTTAAAGTTGCCGAGGTTGTAAAACCCCGCTATAATCAAAGAATATTACATTTCTTCCGGCTGGGTCTTGCCAGAAAAAACTTTACTGTGATTGGCTGATACGCCACACAAAAGCACTCCACCACACAACCTTTTCATGCCACCCATTTGTGTAGCTGAACTCTTCTTCGGGTCGCATTAATTCCTAGATAAGCACTCCAGACTGTCAAAAAGCTTTTGTTATGTATCTAGGTAGCATTCTCACATTTTTAAGCACTCTCCTATATATATCTCCTCTCTCGCAAGGAGAAATCTAGCATCAAGGGGCCATTTAGAATGCATTTATTTAGGGGGTTTTTCGGGTACCAAGGTTTTCCTGCCCCACGCCGCATCGAAATTGCCTTTCTTCCCAACCTTGACGTCGGACTCACCTTTCCATCCGGAACGCTGATGTAGCCCTCAAACCGGGCAGTTTTAAAACTCCGTTGCCACTTGCCCCCTTTTTCTTCTTGAGGCTGGCAGCTGAACCAACACAGGGAGCTACAAAGGTGTGGGCACAGCAGGAAATAAAGGATGCAGCAGGCACACAACACAACGAGAGTGAAGAACAGGCGCGACTGCAGAAGAGAAGAAGACGCGGCGATAACCAGCTGGATACCCAGGCAGGATTCAACCCAACAGAGATAACAAAACAGGGACCTTGGAGGTCTTCTAGTCCAACCCCCTGCTCCAGCAGGAAACCTTGCACCATTTCAGACAAATCACTGTCTAATCTCTTCTTTAAAATCTCCAGTGTTGGAGCATCCACCACTTCTGGAGGCAGGTTGTTCCGCTGATTAATTGTTCTAACCGTCAGGAAATTTCTCCTTAGTTCTAGGTTGCTTCTCTCCTTGGTTAGTTTCCAACTGTTACTTCTTGTCCTGCCTTCTGGTGCTTTGGAGAATAATTTGACCCCCTTTTCTTTGGGGCAGCCCCTCAAATATTGGAAGGCTGTTATCATGTCTCCCCTAGCCCTTTTCTTCATTAAACTAGACATACCCAATTCCTGCAACCGTTCTTCATATGTTTTAGCCTCCAGTCCCCTGATCATCTTTGTTGCTCTTCTCTGCACTCTTTCCAGAGTCTCAACATCTTTTTAATATCGTGGCGACCAAAACTGGATGCACTATTCCAAGTGTGGTCTTACCAAAGCATTGTAAAGTGGTATTAACACTTCACCTGATCTTAGAGAGATGGTCTAAGTTTGTCAACCCTCCCCCCCCCCCAAAACTAGGTAGACCAGAGCAGAAAATCAACTGCAGAGATCTGGAGATCTCTGGAGATTTGAGAGCCTTTGGATACTTACAAGCACCTGCATTCTTTAAGGAGTTTTCAGCCATGTATCTGGCTTGGAATTCTGGGACAGGTGCCCTGTAAAGAGACAGACAGGTGAGCAATTCCAGAGGCGGCTTCTGCACGCACACAGAGATTCTCAACCCCCCAGGTGTTGCTTGTTCAAAAGACAAGTGGACTTTCCTGTTTTGTTTTATAATAATTAATAATAATAATAATAATAATAATAATAATAATAATAATAATAATAATAATAATAATAATAATAATAANTCCAGTGTTGGAGCATTCACTGCTTCTGGAGGCAGGTTGTTCCACTGGTTAATTGTTCTAACTGTCAGGAAGTTTCTCCTTAGTTCTAGGTTGCTTCTCTCCTTGATGAGTTTCCATCCATTGCTTCTTGTCCTGCCTTCAGGCGCTTTGGAGAATAGCTTGACTCCCTCTTCTTTGGGGCAGCCCCTGAGATACTGGAATACCGCTATCGTGTCCCCCCTCGTCCTTCTCTTCATTAAACTAGACATACCCAATTCCAGCAGCCTTTCCTTATATGTTTTACTTTGAAAACATTTCGCTTCTCATTCAAGAAGCTTCTTTGGTTCTAGCTGACAGGTGGGAAATGGAAGGATTTATTTAATGGAAGGAAAAAAGAAAGAAAGTCCAGTTGCCTTTTAGAAAAAAAAACAAACACCTTTGCGACTACTGAGGCCTTAACAAATCTGGTCCCCCAAGCCATAAGCGGCATCTGAAGAAACTATTTACAACGTTAAGAAGTTTTTAAGAAGAGACTGGACAGCCATTTGTCTGAAATGGTATAGGGTTTCCTGCCTGAGCAGGGGGTTGGACTAGATGACCTCCAAGGTCCCTTCCAACTTTTTTATTATTATTATTATTATTATTATTATTATTATTATTATTATTATTATTATTATTATTATTATTATTATTATAGAATTCCGTGTGTCACACAAGTTGCCAGAATTAGGACTTTGGGTTTTGTTTTGTTTTTTAAAACAGCAATAAAAAAAATGGACTGGTTTTAGCCAAGGGATCTATCATCTATTATCAGCAAAGCTGATAAGTGTATTAGCAAGACAAAGGAAGAGTGTTTGCTTTTGCAAGCCTCATTTCAAAACTCACTTTCTTTGCTTGTAGACTGGGAGTGGTGTTGTAATTAAGTGGCAACCAGAGAAACACAAAACTATTTCATCGGGTTTTTCCCCCCTCCTGACAACTACGCTAGGTTAATATTAAGCGAAGTGTTGATTAATAAAGTCGGTTGGCCAATCATCACATGAAGACAGGGAATTCTTCCAAGTACGATCCATTCAGGGCTAGGAAACCGGCCACATTTTCGCTGTGGTTAAACCCTGATTCCCAGGAACCCCCTCCGTGTCAGAGCTGCCCCAGGGGCAGATGTCCTAGGAAAGTAAAAGTGAAAGAAAGACTCCGTTAGGTTGAAGTGGAAAAGTCCACTTTTACTAAGAGAGGCTGGTTACAGTAGAGTCAGGCGGAATCTGAAATTCCCCAATAATACAAAATTAACCTCTTGATTGCCCCGGCCCTTTCTTCACAGTCCGCCCGTGTGCAGCCAATCCGGCACCACCGATATATTTGAGAAGTGCTGAGGTGTTTAGGCTGGTGAAATTCCACTCTCAGGGTACAAGGCCTTGAAAACGTTGGCAGGGACCGGATTCCAAAACACTCTGTTGTTCCTCAACTGTTAATCTCTCTCTCTCTCTCCCCCCCCCCCGATTTCCCACCCTAAGTATACAGTGTTATTGCCCATTGTTTCCCCACCACCACCTTCCTTGCCCATTTGATGGCAGAACGTCAGCGAGGCACCCGAGCCCAAGGTGGTGGATCTGACACTCACTTCCTAGAAGTGGATGCTAAGGAGTTGTAGTCCTTCAATAGCTGGCAGGCCACAGCTATTTAAAAATATCGGTTCACAACATTCTTAAGAGAGGGGCCACGGGTTAGAGTCCCTCTGTTCAGGGGCCATGGGTTAGAGTCCCTCTGTTCAGGGGGCACGGGTTAGAGTCCCTCTGTTCAGGGGGCACGGGTTAGAGTCCCTCTGTTCAGGTGCCATGGGTTAGAGTCCCTCTGTTCAGGGGCCACGGGTTAGAGTCCCTCTGTTCAGGGGCCATGGGTTAGAGTCCCTCTGTTCAGGGGCCACGGGTTAGAGTCCCTCTGTTCAGGGGCCAGGGGTTAGAGTCCCTCTGTTCAGGGGCCATGGGTTAGAGTCCCTCTGTTCAGGGGCCACGGGTTAGAGTCCCTCTGTTCAGGGGCCATGGGTTAGAGTCCCTCTGTTCAGGGGCCATAGGTTAGAGTCCCTCTGTTCAAGTCGATAGGAATAATTTTGCCCCCCCGTCCCCCCCCCAAAAAACCACAAATCAACCTAACAAGGAATTGAACCGCGTTAACCATCCGGAATCCAGGCGGATGGGAGAAGAGGTCAGAGACAGACTGGCAGAAGAGCGCAGAAGGACGCTCTGCACATGCCCCGGAGTCTCCTCCGAGGGACAGGAGCGGAGGGGGAAAGGGGTCCCCCTCCGCAGGATGGCAATGGGGAAAAGAGAGAGACGCACACACACACACACACACACACCCTTAGATCTGCGCCGATTTATTCCTAGCAAGCCGCCGGGGGCGAAGGCTGGGCAGGGCGTGCCAAGGGAAGAAGGGCGCCAGGGAGACGCGCAAAGGAACCCCGGGGAGGGAAAGGACGCGGCGGGCAGCCTCGTGCCAGCCGTGCGCGCCCCGGGAGTGGGGGGGACCCCGGGAGCGCCAAGGGCGCGCGCCCTGGGAAAAGGCGAGGCGCGCAAGGGGAGAGTCGGAAGGGGGGGGGGTCTCTCCTCCTTCCTGGAGGATCCCCCGGGGATTTCTCCCGGCTCCAGGCAGGACGAGCCTCGCTCGCCAGCAGGGTCACCTACCAGCTTGGCCAAGGGAATGGGCAGCATCGCGCGCGCCAGCGCCTCTCCAAACGCGCCGGGCTCTGGCGGCCCGGTTCGTCTCCGGCTGGGCAGAACCGCCACCTCTTTAAGAGCTCTGCAAAGCAGCGCGGGCTCCGCCTCCGACCTCCCCCCTACGTCCCACCCACAGCCCTCCACGATCCCCCCCCCACTCCGCCTGTCGGGAGGCGGCTGCGGGCTTTCCCCTCCGCTGGAGAGGTCGGGCAGAAAACCGCGGCGCGCAAGAACGCGCCGGGGCGATGGTTTCGCAAGACCGCGAGGTTTCCTCTCTAGGCTGGTCTTTTATTCCGTGGAAGCGTCGTGGGAGGGTCGGCTAGGCTGTCAGGGCTGGGGTGTATGTGAAGGCGGGGGGGGGCAGGATCCGTTTGGGGGGGGCAGTGGGTTGACAGACGAGGGCTTGTTTGCTGCCACCAGCATGCTGCGCCTCGATGGAAAGCAAAGCGGAACGGGGGCAGGATGGGCTTCCTGGTGCTGAAGCCAGGGGCCCAGTTCGCACGAGACGCTAAGCTGGGGGTGGGGTTGATGGGCTGGCAGTTCAGGACGTGTGCAAGTTCCAGCTTACATACGTCCTCCCACCCGCTGCTGTAGAATTCCTCTTCATTTGTCCGCTTGTATCTTAGGGTTTCTGTTGTTTTATGTAGTAGCCTAGTATAACTTATGTTGTTTGCCTATTTAGTACCCTACGACCATCACTGAGCGTTGTATCTTATGATTTATGATGAGTGTGGTTTTGTGTTGATTATGATCATGATTTATCGCCTGTTGCTTGTATGTACACTGAACGTTTATGCACTGGAGACAAATTCCTTGTGTGTCCAATCACGCTTGCCCAATAAAGAATTATTATTCTATTCTATTCTATTCTATTCTATTCTATTCTATTCTATTCTATTCCTATTCTACTCTACTCTACTCTACTCTACTCTACTCTACTCTACTCTACTCTACTCTACTCTATTGTACTCTATTCTCTAATTCTATTCTATTCTATTCTATTCTATTCTATTCTATTCTATTCTATTCTATTCTATTCTATTATTTATTCCCTATCCTATCCTATCCTTATTCTATTCCATTCCCTCCATGATGTCTAACCTATCTTTCCAAAGGTGGTAAAACCCAAAAAAATCAGACCTGAACATCAAGAGAAATTGGCTTGGAGAACCAAGCTAAGAAGAAGTGAGTCTAGTAGCACATATAGGAAAGCTTCTCTTCCAGGTCTCCTGTATGGCAGTGATTACCTGTACATCATACCTGTGCTGTGTCGCTCTATCTTTCTGCTTAGATGGTGTACAAAAAGGGAAGCAGGGAAGTGACGGAGGAGTTGTTTCTTATGAAGATCACCTGTTTTCTCAGGTTATAAGAGAAGGACTCTAAGTCAAGAATTGTTGGGTGTTAGTGCTGATGAACGGCTCATGGAAGTGGGGATAGGTGCCCTGCAACTGGACATATAATTTGCATAAGGTGAAGGTGTCAATGTGCAAAAACCATCCGTGAAAGGACATTTGAAGAAACATCTCCAAAATAAAATCGGTCTGAATGTCCTGTTTTCAACAGGAGTTGTTCCTCTGGAAAGACAGCCACGGATTTGTTGAGGTTCATCCATAGTTCAAGGCACCTGAAAATCTAGGGATTGTAGTTTAGGGTGCCAAACCCCAGAGGGCCAAAAGAGGGAAGCAAAGCAACATGGAGACAGATGGATACCCCTGGGCAGCGAGGTCACTAGGGTAGAAGGGCTGAATCCACCTTTTGAACAACTTCCAAGGTGGTGTTTTCAAGAACCAATCCAGTCCTTTCTCTGGAAGCTCTTTATTCTTCTCAATCCAATTCTCCTCCCTTCTTTGCCCCTCGTGGATCGGGACCGTAATCATTTGAGGAAGGAGCTCTTGATTAGCCCCAACACCTTTGTCTGGATTGGGTTGGCCTACACCGCACCAAGATGGACACGTCAACCATTCTTTTTTTCCTACAGAGCTGGAAAGTTATGATTTGCAGGAGGACACTGTTTGTTTGGGAGAAGACGGATGGTGCCCCCCACCCACCCACCCCTGTGCTATTGTCTCTTGAGTTTGAGGGATTCAGCGCCGCCGATTGCAATGTCCACGGGGTTGAGGTGTCCACCTAGTTTTTGCAAAGCCACCGCCTCAATGTCCTCAAGAACTTCCACGCTCCGCGGAAAACTGCCCACTGGTCCTTGCTGCCAGGGGGCCTATTTCTAGGGAATTTCACTCAACTCCACCTCCTGGTAGTCAGGAGGTCACCATCACGAGAAGTGACTTGTGTTGGAACTTGAACAGTGATCTGCAGGGACCGGGAGAACGTATGAGAAGAGACAGGGATACCACCCGACTTTCAACTGCAACTGGCCCAGCTCCTCCTTTCCGGTTCATATAATGTGATCTTCCACCCACTGACACAATCTCCGAGCGTAGTAAGAAGGTTCCACCGTGGAGAACTGGTGGCCCCTGTAACGGAGGCTCTTCCACCAATGTTCCACCTTTTTGCGGAAACTGTAGACGGTGAAAAGGTCGACGATCCCTACGTAGTAGCGGTAATCCGGTCCGTCGATCGTGTGTAGAGGGTTTTTGCACATGGGCAGGATCCGGCGATGCTGCGCCGAGGAGTCATCAGACAAGTCAAAGAGGCTGGGGGCATAGAGGGCGCTGTTCACAATGTAGCTCACGTCGTCGTAGCTGTTCTGCATCAGGAACGGCGTCACCACGTTGCGCATGAAACCCTCGCTTCGGATCAACTGCTCCGGAGGCCGATCGGGTTTCAAGTAGGGGGACAAGTAATCTGGATACAACCGGTGGATCTGGTCACAGCTGGAGGAGCTGCAAGATGTATTGGAAGGAGATCTGCCGTCAGTCACCCCCGAGGCAGCGCTGCGGCGAGGATAATCATAGCTCACCGACCTGGTGGCAGAAAAAAGGAAAGACAGGCATGGGTGTGTTTGTGTTCTGGGTGTGTTTGTGTACAAGCAGCCTTCCACTTACCCCCATCCGTTTAGTGACCGTTCAAAGTTACAACGGCACTGAAACAATGGAAAGCAACCAATCAACCAAGCAAGCAACCATTAACCAAGCAAGCAACCAACCATCTATCCATCCATCCATCCATCCAAACAACCAACCATCAACCAAGCAAGCAACCATCCAACCAATCATCAAGCAAGAAAGCAACCATCCAACCATCAAACAACCAAGCAACCAAGCAAGCAACCAATCATCAACCAAGCATGCAACCATCTATCCATCCAACCAACCAACCAACCAACCAACCAATCATCAACCAACCAACCAATCATCAACCAACCAACCATCAACCAAGCAAGCAACCATCTATCCATCCATCCATCCATCCAACCACGCAAGTAACCATCCAACCAATCATCAAGCAAGCAAGAAAGCAACCAAGCAAGCAACTATCTAACCATCCATCCAACCGACCGACTGACCGACCATCAACCAAGCAACCAACCAATGGTAGCAGTTATGTTCATGCCATCTGACCTTGCAAACCTCTGATGATGTTGAGGCTCATGGGACTACCTTGGTTTTGGTTTCAAATTATAAGCCAAGATTCAGAGTGTTACATATGGGGCTCCTCCACCCACCCACCCACCATTTTGGCAAAACTCTCACAATCTCGTCCTGGCTAATATATTTCCCAGCGTCTTGTTCAGGAGCCGATCATCTTCATGGAGAGGTTGAAGGCCCACCAGCAAACTGTAGTCAATCACGTGCAAAGCTTTGAGAAACTGGGTGTCCAATTTCACTTGCTGCACCAACCAGGTCTGGTCTTGGCCTGGGTGGAGGAGAAAAGGGGAGAGGCTTGATGGCCTCTGGAGTAAGAGGACCCAGAAAGCAAGGTTCCAGAATCAGCTCTCCCACCCCCCAAATGTTGGCACCCTCAGACCTTTTTAAAACAGGGATACTGTATACAAAAACATTTTCAGCCTGAAATGTTCCAATCAGATTGCTCCGATCTTACCAGGAATATCCTAAAATTTGTCTGTTCTGAGTTCTAACAAGGATGAATTGGAGTGCCTGGCTGCCCATGCTCAGAAAAACAGCTGTTTCAAACTAGAAAGGCTTCCAGTTTTGAGCATGCTACATGCCACTGAATAATAAGGATAATATAAAACAGCTGGAAAGTCCTTGGGCTACTCTGTGTAATACTTTATCTTGAATTAAGTCAAAAGACACGGCTGGATGCCCTCAAAGTTGGCACCAGCCAGATCATAGAACAACTCAAAGAAGTAGGGTAAGATCAGAAGATCTAGAAAGACCTGGCCCATAGACCTGCCAAGAATCAGACACTACTTAATGAGTAACAACATCATCAAGTAAAAAAATAAATAAATTCACATTTAGGGTTTGTCTTGGCCCAATATTCAATATTCAGAATTACGGCCTCAGGCTGTCCCAAAGGTGCTTTTTCAGGAAGCAACTGGACGTTTCCCTTCTCATCCCAGAAGCTTCTTCAGCTCTGACTGGATGGTGGGGAAGGGAAGGATTTATACTCCTTGCAGACAGCTGGTCATTTGCCTTCTTTGAGAGAGTCGTTGAGGCCGCTTGGAGGCTTACCTGTGTCCTCAGGGTCACCTGAGTGGTGCAAATGGGTGTGGAGCCTTCTTGGCTGGCAGGATAAGTGGCCTCAAGGTCTCGTTAAAAGAAGGCAAATGACCAGCTGTCTGCAAGGAGTATAAATCCTTCCATTTGTCACCATCCAGTCAGAGCTGAAGAAGCTTCTGGGATGAGAAGTGAAACATCTTAAAAGAAAAACAAGAAAGTCCAGTGGCCTCCTGAAAAAGCACCTTTGAGACAACCATGACCTGGATGATGGAGAACCTCCATAGACATTTACGGCCTCAGACGTTCTTAGCCAGGGTTAAATATCTTGCATGGGTTCAGTTGCAGAGTTTTATTATGACATCAGAACTGATCCAAGATCTCAGATTACATGTACCGTGGCGTGCAGAAACTTACTAAGGGAGATCACCTTGTCTCCAAAGTCGCAGTCCTTAAAAACCACAATGACATCACTGCCATCTACGTTGGGATCTGTCCAGCGATCGACTTCGCACCCTTTGATGTCATAGCTGGAGGAACAAATCAAATCAAGAGCATCAATCCATGTGGATTCAGTTTGTAGTAAGGATAGGGTTAGGGCATTCCTCAACATCTGGGCAACATTTAGATGGGTTAGGGTCCCAGAATCCTCAGCAGTAGCTATGAATTCAGGGGAAATCTGGGAGTTGAAGTCCACCCATCTGTAAGATGTTGAGAATGAGGACCATTGGATGATGGTAAAGAAGTTCTTATCCCAAAGAGATCTACAAGCAAAGCTTAGAAGATCTCTGCTAGGAATCCAGTCCTAAAGGAATATGTTTACGGTGCTGAATTTAACGCTGGAGTCTTCTGACATAAGGCTGGACGAGTGTCCAAGGAAACACCCGTGGAGCTCATCTTCAGCCAAGCTCCAGGCATCTTCCACCTCTAGAGCCAGTGTGGACAACTCACTGTTCAGTAATCTTCTCATGGGGATAGAAGATACTTTGCATGATGATGAAGTATCTCTGTGGGAGAAACAGAAAGGGTGAATGGAGGAGCAGGTTGATGGAAGAGTTGAAGGGTCAAAAGCCAATGTTGGCCCTCAAGAGCCATCAAAAATGATTGGGAGATGGGAGACCCAAGAGGAAGGCCAGCCCTCCAGTGAAAATCTCTCTCTCTCTCTCTCTCTCTCTCTCTCTCTCTCTCTCTCTTTCTCTCCTCTCTCCTCTCTCTTCTCTCTATCTCCTCTCCTCTCTCTCTCTCTCTCTCTCTTTCTCTTCTCTCTCTCTCTCTTTCTCTTCTCTCTCTCTCTTTCTATTCTCTCTCTCTTTCCTTTCTCTCTCTCTCTTTCTCTTCTCTCTCTCCTCTCCTCTCTCTCTCTCTCTCTTAAAATGGAAGAAACAAGGAGACAGAAGTGTTGAGATTTTGGGAGTGGGCAGGTCACAGCTGATTCATATTAAGAGGAGTTCGATAAAATGCTACACATTTCAGTTTGAAGACTGCCTACCTTCTTCTCTTGGGGGGCAATGATGCTATAAACACCTGTGGGGCAGAGAGCAAGAGAGGAAGAACTTGAAGAGGAGGATTCAGTTCTTCCTCTGAAACCGCTTTTTGTTTCTTTTCCGCTCCCCGCTGAGTTGGCCAGCGGATGGCCCAGCCTTACCCAGGAATTTCACCAGGATGGAGTGTGGGTATCTCTCCATGTGGGCCAAGTATTTCGGCAGGTTGGTCAGGAGGAAGCGGATCTCGCGTTTCCGTTGCGTCTTCAGGAAATAACGCTTGTCGAACCTGCCAAGGGGAGAAGAAGTGGAGTTCACCCCTCTTTTCCAGATGGACCACAGCTTTTCTTGAGGTGTTTTTGATGTGTTCTTTGAAAAGAACCATACAACAACACAACTCTCACTGTTAGTTAATGCTGTGTGTGTTGACTGTGTATGTTGACTAGATAGATAGATAGATAGATAGATAGATAGATAGATAGATAGATAGATAGATAGATATAGGTAGGTAGGTAGGTAGGTAGGTAGACAGACAGACAGACAGATAAATAGATGATGGACGGATGGATGGATGTAGATAGATAGTAGATGATAGCTACTATGGTAAATAGGTAGGTAAGTAGGTAGGTAGGTAGGTAGGTAGATAGATAGATAGATAGATAGATAGATAGATAGATAGATAGATAGATAGATAGATAGACGGACGGACGGACGGACGGACGGACGGACGGACAGACAGATGGACAGACGGATGGACGGACTGGATGGATGGATGGATAGACAGATAGTAGATGATAGCTACTACGATAAATAGATGATAGATAGATAGATAGATGGGTGGGTGGGTGGGTGGGTGGGTGGATGGATGGACGGATAGATAGATAGATAGATAGATAGATAGATAGATAGATAGATAGATAGATAGATAGATAGATAGATAGATAGATAGATAGATAGATAGATAGATAGATAGATGGTAGACAGACAAGCCAGAGGGATGGATGGATGGATAGTAGTTTGAGTAGATGGATGGATTGACAGAGGTAGGTTGATTGACTATAGATAGATGATAGATAGCTAATAAATAGATAGATCATATAGATAGATGGTAGACAGATAAACTGAATGGATGGATCGATACATGGATGGTACAAGATGTTTTAAAAGAATTTCTCTGCTTGGGACTCCCCCTTCTGATGCCTTACGTCAGGAAGAAGTCAGCTCTGCTTTTAGAGTTACTGATGAACTGCAGGTAGGAACTTTCACACGTCAAGGACATTTGGAAATCCGTGTCAGTCATGCCAAGACACTGCCGGAAACGGGCAAAGACAGGAGCTGCGTAGGTCCGCATCTCGTAACCCTGCAGAAGAACGGAGCTGGGGGTCACCTCAAGAGGCAGACCGAGAAGGGTAGGAGAAGGTCATCTGAGGAGAACCTGGTCTTCACTTGGCCTCCTCGGGTTGAAGAACCAATTCCCAGCTTGAATCTAGCCTAGCGTCGGACCTGCCTCGACTTGGTCTTCGAAGTAAAAACGATCCTTAACTCAAAAGTATAGTTTACTAGAAGTCAAGTGAATTACAGTTTTGGAAAGCCAGAACGAAGGGTTCGCACGCCAAATTCTCCCAGTTAACTTTCCTTCCTTGGTCCCTACCCCATCGTCGGTCTCTCATTGTCCAATCCATTTTAAAAGAGATGTTTTCGGAAACAATCGCTCTACGTTCTCTTCTCCAGAGAAACAACCTTGAAGACCTCCGGGGTTCTCACCCGAGAACTGTTCTCACCTTTCAGTTTCACTTTCCCCGAGGCCAGGGGGAGCCAACCTTGGCTCTTTTTATGACTTGTGGACTTCAATACCCAGAATTCCTGAACCAGCCATGCTGACTCAGGAATTCTGGGAGCTGAAGTCCACAAGTCATCAAAGAGCCAAGGTTGCCTACCCCTGGTCTATGGTCCTCCCTTTCCTTTCCAGCCCCCTCCCAGGGTTCATGGCAGACTGGCAGTGAGGTGGCAGTTCTGACGCCAGGTCTAGATGTTAGATGCTTGGGGTCAAAGGTAGCTTGCCCGTTGCTTTGGTTGGGGCACGCTCCTTCTAAGATTCATGGGCTAAGAATAAAAATCTGGCTCTTCTTACCGCATGGAACTGCTTAAGCACCCTGGTAAAATCGGATGGCTTTCGCGAATCCTAGAGAAGAGAGGAAATGATGGGAGTTGGTAGAACTGCCCTTCCTGTCTGGTCTTCTCAACAATCATGGAAACCTAACATCTTCAGAGATCCTCTACTATGGCTCCCAGAAAGGTATTATATATATTTATTCAGAATAGTGCTGGAAGGGACCTTGGAGGTCTTCTAGTCCAACCCCCTGCTCAAGCAGGAGACCCTATACTTCAACTTCAACTCCCAGAATTCCTGAGCCAGCTTAGCTCAGCTTGGAAACCTCTTCCTTTCCCCTCAGCATGGCTGTCTGAGGAATTCTGGGAGTTGAAGTCCACCAGTCACAAAAGAGCCAAAGTTGCCTACCCCTGCCCTATACCATTCCAGACAAGTGGTTGTCCAGTCTCTTCTTATAAAACCCCCAGTGATGAAGCACACTCACAACTTCTGAAGGCAAGCTGTACTATTGTTCTCACTGTTAGGAAGTTTCTCTTTCATTCTAGGTTGCTTCTCTCCTTGATCAGCTTCCATCCGTTGCTTCTTGTCCTGCCTTCAGGCGCTTTGGAAAACAGGTAGACCCCTTCTTCTTTGGGGCAGCCCCTCAAATATTGGAAGACTGCTATCATGTCACCCCTCGTCCTTCTCTTCATTAAACTAGACACCTCCAATTCCTGCCACCGTTCTTAAGTCCCTAGATCAAGTTCTCTAGTCTGAAAGGATTGGAAAGAATACTTTCCCCTAGTCTGCCTGGAACTTACCATGCTCACCGGTTCATCAATGGTTATCTGGATGGAGGCCTTCAGCCCTTCTTTGAGCATGCAGGTGAACTCAAAAAATTCGTGCTGATCGTTGATTTCAAAGAAGCCCAGCAACTTCCATTGCTGGCGGACCCGCAAGAGCATCCGTTGGATGGCCGACCACCCTCTATGAGGCCTTCGGTACGGGACATGGGACTACAAGACCGAAGGTGGGCAGGTTAGCCAAGCAGAGAGGCAAGGGTTCCAGAGAGAGAGAGATCCATGTTCCCCTTTTAGAGAGTGCATGGGGAAGAGGAGTGGAGAAAAAATAAAGATTCCTAGAGATACCTTCAACTGCAGCGTCGAAGCCATGATGCTGAAGAGCCAAGGTGAGATCAGCCAGATTACTTGATGGTTCTTGTCTCCTTAGAAACTGTGGAACCCAGTGGGACAGCTCAGCGGATGTTTAACCGTCAGTCAACGATCCTGCCAAGATTCCATCCACAAAGAGCAGGAGAGGTGGACGCCTCCAACACCACCTTTGTAGACTTTGGGAGAGGTTGTAACTTATGATTTATGATGATTGTACTTTATGATGATCACGATTTATCACTTGTTGCTTGTGTGTACGCGGAGAGCTTCTGCACCGGAGACAAATTCCTTGTGTGTGTCCCATCACACTTGGCCAATAAAGAGTTTATCATAAATTTATCGTATCAATAAATAATTGAGCATAAATTAGGATTGTGATTTATCACTTGTTGCTTGTATGTACATGGAGAGCTTCTGCACCGGAGACAAATTCCTTGTGTGTGTCCAATCATACTTGGCCATGCCTTGCTAGCAAAACTGTAATCTTGTTTTTTTATAGCTCTTCCAGGCTTTTGTTTCACATTTTTTCCTCCTTGCTTTACTTTGAAGATTCTGCTTTCTTTAGCAATAGCACTTGGGATTTATATGCTGCTTTACAGCCCTCTCTAAGCGATTTACAGTCAGCATTCCCCCCCCCCCCACAATCTGGGTCCTCATTTTATCGACCTCGGAAGGACGGAAGGCTGAGTCAACTCTGAGCCGGTGAGGATCAAACTGCTGGCAACTGGCAGAAATAATCTGCAATCCTGCATTCTAACCACTGCACCCCCACGGCTCCTATAAGCATTTAGGAACCACTTTCATTCTTAAATCAGCCAGAGGGCAGAATTCTGCCTGCTTGGTGTTCTCCTTCATAAGGACCAGAAGCTTATTTTGCAAAATGAAAATGGACTATATAGGAGGAGGGCTGGAATAGCCCTCCTAAAACCACACACAAACTCTAATAACCATTCTGCTGAGAGTCACATGAAAGCAGAAGAGGCAGGAAAAACAAATCAGTGCAGGAAAACATTTTATTTGTTAGACCTCTTTGCGTAACGATGCCCCAAAAGGGGAAAAAAAAAACCAACAGGTTTTGAGGAATGTATCTATACTGCAGCAAACGAGATCAAGACATGTATTTTGGGGGAGAGAACATTTGAACATTTTGTGGCCCGAGTGCATGTCTCTATTTCGGAATCTGAATTATTAACGCAAATGCACAAATGTTAATCTAACTTACTTTGTGTTTTTTTTTAAAGTGCAGTGAAAACGAAGCTTGGAAACTTGGAATGACCCAGTTAAACAGTAATTACAAATATAATCTACGCCTTTCCAGGCAGTGAACTAATTAGAGAGCAGTGCTGTAATGACTTGATCAGCTTCAGCCAGAAAACAATTAAAATTTTTCTGAGATTTATCCAAGAAACCAGCAGAGGATGCCTGTGAGTTAAAAAGAAACTTCTGAACAAGTTTTTTTGAAGTGTTATTTATTTTTTTTTAAACCATTCTAGGAAAAAGGAGGTGGACCGTATTTTTAATGACCGTTTAACTGGGTCATTAGAAGTTTCCAATCTCCACTTGCATTGTACATTGAAAAAAATAAGAATAAAAATCTGGGCACGCATTAACGTGATCTCGATGGTCACGTGGCTGGAGACATAAATTAAAAAAAAAAAAGAATAACAAATCTGAGACAAGAAGAGATTTCTCCCTATGCTGGAAAACCGACGGGCAATTCTGGACGGATCTACCATCCGTCAGCAGCGCGTTTACAAATTTGAGCGGCTGTAGAAAAATGCAATCTGGAAAAGTCAAAGCGCCACAAAGCCACATGATATTATGCAGGAAAAAAGCAGGAAACCCTCCCCCCCACAAAAACACAACTACAAATGGGCCCCGCTAAACTTCAGTCCTTGTCGACTTTCCAGAGCTAAATTTGGACCCTAAGAAAAGAGATCGGGTGAAACCCTTGCTCTGGGATTTCAGATCCGGTCGCATACATCGTGAGATCTCTCCGGATTAAATCTCTTCGGTTCACAGTTTGGAAACTCTGTCCAGATCTGTACGGGGTGGGGATGGTGGGAATCAACCCTGGCTCCCAAAATTTCTTTCCAGGCTTGGCTAAAACAGGATCCCTGAGATGATCTCCCATCTTCCCTTTTCAAGCGGACTTTTTTTCCGATTTCGGATTCTTCCACATCACGACGGTGATAAAAGTTCCTAGAGGAGACACAGAAAGAAAGTCAAAAAACCTTCCACTGCCTGGCCAAAGCAAGGGAGCACAGAAGAATAAAATCCAGGCATGGTCCTCAACTGGCAACGAGTTCATTTAGTGACCGAAGTTATAACGGCATGGGAAAAAAGTGACTTATGACCGTTTTTCACACTTACGACCGTTCCGGCATCCCTGAGGTCACGCGATCAAAATTCGGACGCTCGGCCACTGACTCGTATTTACGACGTTCGCAGTGTCACGTGATCCCCTTTTGCGACCGTCTGACAAGCAAAATCAATGGGGGAAGCCGGATTCCCGTAACAACCGGGTTACTGACTTATCAACTGCAGCGATTTCGTTAACGGCGGCGGCAGCAAGGTCGCAAAATGGGGCAAAATTCACTTGACCAACGTCTCACTTAGCAACAGGAAATTTGGGCCGCAATTGCGTTCGTCAAGTCGAGGGTTACCTGTTAAAAAATGCACCCAAGGTGGACCCATGGTCACGGGAAAGAGAGGGATGCCGAATTAAAACGCAAACAAGATAAAAAAAAGATAGACTCAAGATCACGCGAAGGACTAGCACCGCTTTGTGAAGCCTTAGTAAGCCCACACCTGGAATACTGCAGCCAATTTTGGTCACCACATCACAAAACAGATGTTGAGAGTTTGGAAAAAGTTCAGAGAAGAGCAACTAAGAGGATCAAAGGCCTGGAAACCAAAACATACGAAGAACGGCTGCAGGACTTGGGTTTGGCTGGTCTAAAGAAAAGAAGAAATAGGGGAGACATGATAGCAGTATTCCGGTATTTGAGGGGCTGCCACAAAGAAGAGGGGGTCAAACTATTCTCCAAAGCACCAGAGGGCAGGACAAGAAACAATGGTTGGAAACTGATCAAAGAGAGAAGCAACCTGGCATTAAGGAGAAACTTCCTAACAGTGAGGACAATCAACCAGTGGAACAGCTTGCCACCAGAAATCGTGGGCGCTCCATCACTGGAGATTGTTAAGAAGAGACTGGACAGTCACTTGTCTGAGATGGTATAGGTTCTCCTGCTTGAGCAGGGGGCTGGACTAGAAGACCTCCAAGGTCCCTTCCAGCTCTATTCTATTCCTATTCTAAACAGCCAACCAAACATTGGGACAGTAAGGATTGAAGAGATGAATGGATCTAATTATGAGTTGGGGGTCTACTTTTCTTTCTTTTTTTCCTTTCCTTTCCTATCCGTTTTATTCCTTAGGTTTTGATCTGCTGTTCTGGCCGCCCAGGGTTGTGTCCTGCAAGGTGGTGACTAGATAAACTTTTTAAATAAATAATATAAAATATTAAAAGTTGATGCTCTTGCGGGGCAGATCAGGCGAAGGAGAAAGAAGGAAGCAAGGAAGACCTCCTAACCAATCTACGGAGCATTCTCAAAGATGTCTTATCTTCTTTCAAGCCCCCGGTTGGCCAGCAGCTCCCCCCCACCCCCCAATCTGGGATGAAACTCACCAATAAAAAGCAGCAACACCAGTCCGGCCGCCACAGGGATGATCACTGCATATTCTCGGGGTAGGAAGTACTTGTGAATGAGGTGATCACTCTCCGTGAAGGGCTGAGGAGGAACAGAAAATGTATCAGCCGGGAGCAAAGGGCAACCTTTCCACAGGCCCCTGAAGTTTAGTAACTTGTCTTATTATTATTTATTAAATTTATATGCTAATAAGGCAAAGTGGTGTTAAAGCGCCTTCTGTAGGTAATAGATTGGCACAGTTGTGGCTGCTGGAAAAAGACCAACGTTGGGTTGATTTTCTAGTACTGATGATGTCACCTAGCTGGGTCGTGAAACGTCTGCAAGAAAACAACCAAGCTCAGAGAGCACCAAGGATCCCCCAGTCCTCCTCCTCCTCCTCCCTGCAAACCCCCCCTCCTTCTAGCACTGATGATGTTACCTAGTTGGGTTGTGAAACGTCTGCAAGAAAACAACAGAGCTCAGAGAGCACAAAGGACCCCCCCCCAGTCTTCTTCCTCCACCTCCCTGCAAAGCCCACTCCCTAGCACTGATGATGTCACCTAGTTGGGTTGTGAAACGTCTGCAAGAAAACAACGGAGCTCAGAGAGCAACCAGGACCTCCTCATAAGCTACATTTTAAAGCTTGGCTTGTATTCATAGATTTATATGGTTTTATTATGTGGCAGTAAATGATCCAGAGTCACTTAAGTCAGATGGAGAGGGGAGAAATTTAATAAATGAATAAGTTAAATTGTTGGGTCTTCTCATCCCTCAACATGTGAAGGGGAATCGGATTGTTCATTGCTGTTTAAGACGACAGATTATCTATCTATCTGTCTGTCTGTCTGTCTGTCTGTGTCTGTCTATTCTTGTCTATCATCTATCTATCTGTCTGTTTCTATCTATTCTTGTCTATCTATCTATCTATCTATCTATCTATCTATCTATCTATCTATCTATCTATCTATCTATCTATCTATCTGTGTCTGTCTATTCTTATCTATCTATCTATCTATCTATCTGTCTGTCTGTCTGTCTGTCTGTCTATCTATCTATCTGTGTCTATTCTTGTCTATCATCTATCTGTCTGTGTCTGTCTATTCTTGTCTATCATCTATCTATCAATCAATCATCTATCTAATCTATCTCTATGTCCGTCCATCTATCCATCCATCCTTATCCCTCTCTCTCTCTCTCTCTCTCTCTCTCTCTCTCTCTCTCTCTCCCACACACACACACACACACACACACACACACACACACACACGGTAAACTTGAAGTTGCTTGGAAAGGGCCCTAATGCAGGGAAAAGTGGAAGGAAATAGAAGATGATGACCGCTACAAGGTGGATGGATGGATTCAGTTCCAGTGGTGATGGAGGCGTTGCTGGGAGACTTGAAAGAAGAGGTCAGGGATAGATCATCGTGGAGATCAATCAATTAATCGATTTGTTGTTAGGAGGGAAAAAAAACGCCCACAACTTGATGGCACATAATCAATCAAATGCTGGAGAAAACTCTGGACGTACGTACCAAGACGATTATCCAGACGGTGTAGTAGGCGAAGAGAACCAAGCTGAAGGTCACCAAGCCATACCCAACGAATTGGTCACTCACTGTGGCCTGGAAGCAAAACAAAACAAAGCAGAAGAAATGTTTTATTTCATTCCAAAAATAGAAAAGGGAGCTTGAGAATAAATACCAGATCTCCGGGCTCCATTCAATAAGCAGGATTCGGGAAGCAAACGGCGTTATACAAGCTATTGCTATTTCTTCAGATTTATTTACTTCTTGCAAAGTAAATAAACGAAATGCACAAAATAAAAAAATTAAAAAAAACAAAAACCCTGCGAGGGTTTTGCAACCTTTTTGCGCTTTGAAGGCAAACAACAACCGGAGACAGTGTAGCAGCCAAAGCGAAACAGGCAACTCAATTTAAAAATATATATATATAAAATAAATTAACAATAAACAAACCGCACACTTAACACAAAAGCGCTGCGCCTTTTTGCAATTGCTGTGCAAAAGATAGCAACAAAAAAAGGGGACTCCCCCCTTTTGCAAAAATCAAAGAATCCCCCCCTTTTTGCAAAAAAACCGAGCCTCACCATTGCAACTTGCCAATCCCACCTCGCCCTTCTGCAACTTTGCTCTGTGATCTGGCCAAGGATGACCTACTTCCGTCCACGCTGGCCAATCAGAAGCTAGAGAGGGCGTGCGAAACCTCCCACGGGCAGTAGAGTTCAGTCCAGAGGGAAGTGCTAGAGAGGCAAACCCATGTTAGCCACACTGGACTTCCTGAAACGTAGACTTATTCAATAGTGGAGTTTGAAGCTATCAATCAGGGTTGATTCCAGGCTTGTTTTAATTTATTTTTTTTAATTGAGGGGTGGGGGAAGCTGATCAGTGGAAGAAGCCTGGGGAAATGTGATGCAGTTTTTTTTCCAACTGTCTAGATATTTTAGAGCAGTGTTTCTCAACCTTGACAATTTTAAGGCATGTGGACTTCAACTCCCAGAATTCCACAGCCAGCAATGCTGGCTGTGGAATTCTGGGAGTTGAAGTCCACATGCCTTAAAATTGTCAAGGTTGAGAAACACTGTTTTAGAGGGTGAAAGTCACCGTTTTTGTGTGTGTATGTGTGTGTGCAGTCTACCTTATAGGGTTGTTGTTAATAGGAAAATAGACGTTTTGCACGGTGGTCTTGCAGGAAGGGTGGTGAGAGTCTTCAAAATGGATCATTTGCTGTTTTAATATGGATTCTAAGTTGGCTTCCCCCCCTTTTGTTTTTCATACTTTTGGTCACCGTTTGTGTGTGTGTGTGTGCAGTCTACCTTATAGGGTTGTGGTTAATAGGAAAATAGACGTTTTGCACGGTGGTCTTGCAGGAAGGGTGGTGGGAGTCTTCAAAATGGATCAATTGCTGTTTTAATATGGATCCTAAGTTGGCTTCCCCCCTCCTTTTGTTTTTCATACTTTTGGTTTTAGCTTCTCCCAGCGGAGGTTGCGTGGAAATTTGGAGAGCGCATTCAGATGAATCTGGCATTGCACCGTCGTCTCGTTTTTTGGGTATGGCGTTCTTGGAAATCCGGGTTGCAGAAATTCAGCCGCTGTCCCAATTTGCATTCATGCTTTCCAACCCTAAATTCTAATTTATTTATTTATTTTTTTAAAAAAGCAGTAGACAATTGCATGACCAGTTTTACTCTATCCGGGCCTTTGGGTGTGTACAGGGGTGCGTTTATACGTGTGCAACTCACTGCACCCTTCTCTGGAAAGCAAAAAAAAATAGCACACTTGGGAAGACATGTAACCATTACTTTCCCTTTTTGTGTGATGAACAGAAGGCCTTTTGTACAATAGTCATAAAAAAAATCTTAATTCTTTTTGCCCCGTGCCCCAAATGTCTTTAGTTTCTCAACTTTGGCAATATTTAACTCCCAGAATTCTGGAATTTGATCTACCCATCTTTGGTTTGCCATGGTTGAGAAACACTTGTAGAAAAACACAGGTTAAAAAACCAAAACATTTTTGCTTTATAGTTCAATGTGTGGTGGATGTGTGGCATGTCCCAAATTTGTAGGGTCTATATTTCATTTTGTAGGGTCTATATTTTAATTTTATGGAAATATTTAAATGAGAACAGGTTTTCCATTTTGACCTGGCAAATTCACAATGGGTTAACTGCAGTTTTCCTTAATTCCGATTCTTAGTTGGGTGGCATGCTCGCAATTCTCAGAAGAGGCTAGGGCAGCCTTCCTTAACTTAGTATCCCACAGATAAGTTCAAATAACTTAATAGCCTGCAGATGATTTGAAACTGAAGTTTCCTCCTCCCTCCCCACCCTTTTTCCTCTCCTGCTACATCTTTGTAAGGGTAAGGACAAAACCTTGATTTTCCAACCATTTTGGCCAAGAAATAGGGTATTAATTAAAGTGGATTAGCCAAAATAACGATGCAAAAAATATCAAAATATACAGAAGTGGATGTGATCCATTACTGGATGGGATACCACCAGGAAAGGCCAGGTTAGGTAAACAAAACATATTGGAAGACGGCAACAGCAAACCAGTTCTAGATTTATTTCTGAAATTTATATGCTGCTCGTTTTGTAGTTGGAGCGGCTATATCAACTTCAAGGAAACAAACTTGTTGATGGCATCCATTTGAGAGGTGTGTACGTGTCAAGATTTCGACAAGGAGAAACGAAAAGAACAGCACAGACGCTCGTTGTGATGTACCAAAGAAAACCCAACCTTTATTTCCCCCCAAAAAAAACCATTACGACATTTGATTTTATAGTGATTTTTCTTCTTTTTATAACTGTGGCTTCTCTACATCAGGAACCAGATAACAAAGAATACAAAACAAGACTGGTTGAATCAAAGACAGCACAGCATTCAATACAAAAAAGGATAAATACTAGAAGAACGAGTTAAAACGGGGAATATGCAGATCTATGACTGATTCTTCTCTGGGCCCAACACTTTTTGAAAATATATTTGAAAATGGATCAGCAGGGGTCAGTGGAAGGAAGAAAAAAAAAATCTTTTCTATAAATGGATTTCAGTTTTAATCTACTTTCAGATTTCAAAAGTTCAGAACACATCAAAACTATCTCTCCTGGCAATTCTTTACCTTTAAATTTTGCATAGTCCTGTTTTGGTTTTTTAGTTTTTTTTCTCTCTCTCTCTTCCAAAAATATCTTTCCTGCTATAGAAATATCTGAATATAAATCGCGGTGTGCCTTTCGAACTCTCTTAAAATTCGCTTTCCAAGAAAATAAAACGCGATCTCTTCTCTCTCTCTTTTTCTTTCAACCCCCTGAAAAATATGGGCTTAAAAAGCAACGGAATTTTTTTTTTTAAGAAAACGTCACGGTGAAGAATTTCGAGTTTATTCTTTTTTTTACATTCCAGGTTCACCTTATTTTGGAGACACGGCGAAAGGATTTTTATCCTTAGAAGCTGGGGAGGGAAGAGGGAACGTTATGCAGCTTGGAAGTTGGCTATATTTTTTTTCCAGGGGGAAGAACTGGACAGCCACAAAGTTTGGGTTGTCAAGAGAAATTATTGTGCCTCTAAGAGACCAGCTCCGTCCACAGAGCGTAAGAAACAAGGATAGCCAACTTGAAGGGTTGATTACAGGAAAATGGCGTTTTCTTTTAACAGCTCCTGAGATCACGTGAAGGAGAGATCTGCTCTCCGTTGGATCCCCCTCTCCAGGAGGGGACATCCTGATCCGTACCTAGCAAGATGGGAGGAATCACCTTCCAGAGGCTTCACAATCTTGAGTACAGCCCAGCTGCCTCGATCAAGTTTTTTTTTTTCTCCTTTTAAAACTTTTATTTTGTCCAAAGGGGAAGATTTAACTGCAGAAGGAAGCGTAATTAAAAAAAAGAAGCAGCAGCAAGCAAGCCATTTGGGTCACTGCAGAGGCCCAAACCATTAAAAAACAAAGAAGTGTTAATAAAAAAAATAGGGAATAAATTTTCTGAAGAGAATAGAGCAGGCGCTTGGGGGGGAAACTGAGAAAATGGCTAGTTTGCACCAAAATAGACATTTTTGTCTGCCACTACTTTGTAAAACTTTTCATCGAAAATGAACATTACTCTCACGGTCTCGTCGCTATTCTCTGAGAACTTTGGCTCAAAAGATCCAGAGGTTTTCTGCAAGCCCAAAATAAAGTCTACAGATTTGGCACCGTGCACGGAAGGAGAACAGAATCCAGCTGTGCTATCTTCCTAGCTGAGTTCACGGCTTGGGCCTTGGTGCCATTCCGATGTTTCACCGGATCTTGGTTCTTTGATCCCAGTTGGATGGGCGAGTGCTGAACATCCCAAAAGCGGAAGGAAGGCAGCCAGCGAGAAACTTAGAGACATCGAAGCTCTAGTTGGTTGCCATCCCTCTCTGCTCAAGTTAGACATAATTATAAAACAAAGCCCAATAAGCAGAACCCGACAGATACTATAAGCAATGAAACAATGATTTAACACCCCCCCTCCAAAATTCACAACATACACCAGCCTGCTGGGTTGATCAACAACAACAAAAAAATCAATATATTTCAAAATCAAAAGGGGAGGAGAAAGAAGGTTAACCGTGGTGTAAGAAGGTCAAATGAAAACCATTTTCCAAATGGCATCTCTAGGTTAATTGTCCCAGATAGTGCTGGGCTGGCTGTGACCACCGTCTTAAAAACAGCAGAATTTGCCCACCAGGGAAAAATAATAACAAGATCTACCGCTTCACCCATTCGTGGTGGGACAGGCCACTGGAGACCAACAGGGGTATCTCAAGAAGCTTCGGCTTCTTCCAATTCACCAGGTCCTTCTTAGCAAACACACACCTGAATCGTGATGGCCCTGTTAGAAAAGCTCTGGAGGACCTCTTCTGTCATGATGGTGAAAGGATTTCACAAGGCCACCGACTTCCAGATGGAGTTTTCCAGATCTATCCTGGAGATTCTAGACCTTCCCCAAGTTTCCCCTTTTCCTGAAGGATCGGTCTGGGACAATCGGTCAGGGACAATCAGGGAGAGTTTGAGGCACTCTGATCTGCTCAACACAGTGGCCTTGAGCTGGGTTGGAGTCTTCAACTCATACAACCCTTGGCTAGCTCAGCTGAGATAGGAAAGGAACGTTCTGGTCAGTGGTTGGGTGGAGAACCCAACGTTTGGCAGATCCTCGCCCAGTGACTACCTTGCTACCACTCAAAGGACCACAGGCCTGCCCTGTGAGGTCCATGTGCCCCTCTCCCCAATTCCTGATCCTGTTCTGAATTCCATTTGCACACTCTTGTTTTAGAGCAGTTAGTAGTCTAAAGGGCATGTGGGGAAGATGATGCCCCCAAGCCATTACTAAACCAAGTGAAATGTGTGTGTGTGTCCACACTCAATTGATGCCTACACCAAGGCCAAGCTACTTTCTTGAAATGGGAAAAACCTGAGTCTTTCCCCCACCTCCAAAAGCAACAAGTGAAGGGTGGGGGACACCCAATGTGTAGGATGAAACTGCACAGGAACAAAGCTCTGGGTCTTCTAGATGTAGCTTGGGGAAGACCAACGTAAGAATGCAACATGGGGAAAACCAGTTCACAGCTTCACCGCTTCTGTACCGGGCCCTGAAACTCGCTCATTTCCTACACAAATCTCAGCAGTTGGGTGGAGAGGGCCATAAAGCATCAATCCGATGGAAAGACAAATCCAGGAATCTCCCCCCACGCTTTCTGAATGTGGTAGAACCCAGTTGAGGACATCCAGTTGAGCAGTGAATTCTGATGATGCTACCCTCATTTCATTGCTTACGGAGTTTGGACTCCACACGCTCTATGAGAAAGCAAGAAAGCAAGCGACTGGAGAACATTTTGGTCTCTTGTGATGGAACCTTCTCCACCATGCTTGGACAGGAGGAAACCTTCTCAAGGCTCAATGGCTCTGTTTCAAATCAAATCCCAACCGAGGAGAATCCTAACCCAACGTGTTTTGCATCGAGAAGGCAATGATGTTGGGACCGATACGGAATATTTTTCTACTGTATCACCAAGCAAAAACAGAAACCCAACAGGCTTGGGGCTCTCCTCACCCCTCACCTGGCTGCAGTGACTGTGTGTTACCCAAAAGAACTTTTTTTAAAAAAAAATGAAAAAGTCAACAGCGGTTCCCACTGAGGAAAACCGAAGCTTTTTCCTGGACCCATCTGAGGTTCTTCAAGTGTCGCCTTGCATGGTAGCTGGCCAAGATCATCCCCCTTCCTTGTCCTGCAGTAGAAGGAGGATCTCAAACTAGAACCCGAACTGCACTCAGCATCTTCAAAGCTTCCCATGGCTCATGGATGCTTGAAAGAGGGTTTCCGAGGCCCAAAACACACAAGCGGTTTCCTATGAAAGACAAAGTTTACGGAGGACCTCCGGATCAGAGCGGTGACATAGCTGGGCCTTCATTCCTTGGGTATCAGCCCTTGGAGGGATAAATGCGAGAAAGCAGATGTGGATGAACCAACGGTTCAATCTTTGCGACGGTCATGACTAGCAACCTTTCCAATCTGAGCTTCTCTTGGGACAGGAGCGCGAGAGGGAAGTGTTCACAGTGGTGTAACTTGGTGGTGGGGACAGGAATGACCAAAGCCATCAAACTGAGCCGTGGTGCTCGGCACAAGAGTTGTTGTCCTGAGTTGCTGTCCCTCCAAGGGAGCCGTTGCAAGGGGCAGGACGGTTGATCCCGCCCTTCCGCATATGGTCGACGGTTATCTTTCCAGACCCAACGTAAAGTGCCTGTTTGTGGAGTACCTCTGGGCAGGTAAGGAGTGCTTGGATTCCCAAAAAAAAAATTTGAGAAGTCCTGCCCGGAATGTTATGTGCAGAGAAGATTAAAAAGAAATAAAGAGAGGAAAAATCGATGGGGTGGGGAGGAAAGGACAACCTGCTGGGACAGGTTCCCATCTGGGGTACCCATCTAGTTCACATTTAATGGGTTTCAATGACCACGGGCTCGTAGACTCCGGACGAGACTCTGCGGGAGAAAAAGGGAGGAGAGAAACACTGTGACAGAAGAATCTGGTTGAAAAGAACAAAAGGAAGAGCTTTCAACTTAAACTAAGAAATCGGGACTCTAAATATTACCAAGTTATGCTTTGAAAGGCCTGCATTCCTCCTAGAAATGAGGCTTAAACTCAAAAAAGTATTGAAAAAACAACTGTTCCAGGACCCTACCTGTTTGCTAGCTGTATCCCACTTAGCGTAGTTGTGCCATCTCGGCTCACAAACAGCCTCAGATTACTATCTGGAAGACAAAAAACGATATCCAGGAGGTCAATGTTTTAGTCTTTTATGAAAAAGATGTTGGGGAAAATGCCAGCGAGGCTGGAAGGAGGGGTCAAGCAGGTGCCTAGCTTGGAATCCTTGCGCACTCGCAAGAGGCATAAGCTTGACCTCGTCCAAGATCCACGAAGCCTTATCTGGTCATATTCAAGGGAAGGCAAGCACTCTTGGGAAAATTCACGTGCAGTGTTAGTACCGCTTTGTAAAGCCTTAGTAGAGCCACACCTGGAATGCTGCATCCAGTTATGGTTACCACGTTACAAAAAAAGATGTGGAGACTTGGGGAAAAAGTGCAGAGAAGAGCAACTAAGATGATCAAAGGCCTGGAGACTAAAACATATGAAGAACGGTTGCAGGATTTGGGGATGGCCAGTCTACAGAAAAGGAGGACTAGGGGGGACATGATAGCTGTCTTCTAGTATTTGAGGGGCTGCCACAAAGAAGAGGGGGGGTCAACCTATTTTCCAAAGCGCCAGAAGGCAAGACAAGAAACAATGGATGGAAGCTAATCAAGGAGAGAAGCAACCTGGAATTAAGGAGAAACTTCCTAACAGTGAGAACAATTAACCAGTGGAACAGCTTGCCACCAGAAGTTGTGGGTGCTTCATCACTCAAGGATTTTAAGAAGAGATTGGACAATCATTTGTCTGAAATGGTATAGGGCCTCCTGCTTGAGCAGGGGGTTGGACTAGAAGACCTCCAAGGTCCCTTCCAGCTCTATTCTGATTCTGATTCTTGTAACTCAGGCAGAAAGCAATAAAGTTGCTTTCTTCAGCTACTTACGAGTGGCTTGGGTTGCTTGTGCCTGACACATGAGCAGGGGTTTGGCCTCTGCACCCCAGAATCCCCCAACCAAGGCTTAGGAATTCTGGGAGATGAAGTTCAAGGCAGGCTTCCAGGTGGTGGAAGTTGGAAGGCTGCACAAGGAGTGAAGGAAAAGGGGGCAAAAGCTTCCTTAGGAGGGGAGACGTTCTCACCTTCAGTGTTGCTGACGTTGGTGAAATCCTGACTTTGCATGATCTTCTCCACGATGTCACCTGCGTCGATCCGAGTGTCGTCCACCCAGGTGGGATGGCTTTCTACAGAATCCTTTTTCCTCCTGCAGGGAAAGAAGTGAACAAAGAAAGGATTAAAAACAAGCAAACAAACGGGGGGAAATAGGCGACAAATCCCCCTCTTCCAAGGATGGAAGAGATGTTTCCTCCGTGAGTCCAGCTTAAGGGTACCTACCGAGAAGATCTGTCCGACAAAAGGTTGGGTCTGGGGGGTCTCGGGGGCTTCTCCAACCTGTGTTCCCGTTCGCCCTCCGGGCATTCAACCGTCATGCTGAGACCTCCCGAGGCGCTGCTGCTGGTGGACGTGTTCCGGCGGTGGGTCAGGTCCGACAGGCTGGACGATCTGGAGTGCTCGGTGCTGTATCCTACAAATGAGAATATCAGGACAATCTTGATGGTCAAGCCAGGAACCATCCGAATCCAGCATTTTGTTCCCCACCAGAAGAACATCTGAAGCACCTTACCAGGAGATGGGAGACATACCTCTTCTACCTCTTCTGATATCCCAAAGGTGCTTTTTCAGGAGGCCACTGGACTTTCTTGTTTTTCTCTGAAGACGTTTCGCTTCTCCTCCAAGAATCTTCTTCAGCTCTGATTGGATAGTGGGGAATAGAAGGATTTATACTCCTTGCAGACAGCTGGTCATTTGCCTTCTTTTAGAGAGTCGTTGAGGCCACTTGGAGGTTTATTTGTGTCCTATTGTGTCACAGAAAACATCCTGCAGCCAAGAAGGCTCCACACCCATTTGCACCACTCGGGTGACCTTGAGGACACAGGTAAACCTCCAAGTGGCCTTAAAGACTCTCAAAAAGAATGCAAATGACCAGCTGTCTGCAAGGAGTATAAATCCTTCCCTTCCCCACCATCCAGTCAGAGCTGAAGAAGCTTCTGGAGGAGAAGTGAAACGTCTTCAGAGAAAAACAAGAAAGTCCAGTTGCCTCCTGAAAAAGCACCTTTGGGACAACCATGGCCTGGATGACTGAGAATCTCCATATACACCTTCTGACGTTACCTGAGATTTGAAAACAAACTACCTTCCCTGCAGAGGTGATCTTTAGTCTTCACAACTAACAAGATAAACCGATTATCATGTAGAATAAATGAATCCTACCTGCATTTAGCCACCTCCCTCCCCATTTAACAGCAACTCCATCACAATGCCTTGAAGGGCTGTGAGTATCCCAAATTTGCAGCAATAGTAGGTATTTATCTATTAAACACCCAATTTTTAAAAACAAACTGACATTTCTTCCCGGCTTAGCTAGATGAAATAAATATTATTGTTTTTTAAAAAATATTTAATTTGTATGCCAAACCCGATCCTCAACGACCCCCAAGTAAAAACTAAAAAAAATATACAATCCAAAACAAAACTAGGAATAAAAATTAGTGTTTCAAATATGCATGATAGAAAGATACACACACACACACACAAAATTTGGAAGGATTCATTATCCTATATGGATGCCATAAATGAATGCTCTTAAGTCAAGGACTTACCTGCATTTATTAAACATTGCCACCCCAATAAAAAGAAAATAAAAACCCTCTTGCTGGTTTAGGTGGGTTTTAAAAAAAAAATAACTTTTTTTAAAAAATGGCTATTACGTTGGTCTCGTTTTATTGTTTTGTTTTAAGTTTGGTTCTGCCTGGAAAAAAAGGCCACAAGACCCTTAGAAATGGGAGCATCGCTTAGATTGGCTCATGAAAACCCAGGTCTTGGCGGAATGGACACTGACCAGAGATTTTGGATTGCTGGCTGGCATAGCTTGAATTTCGCGAGTGTCCAGAATGAAACACTTCTTCTGGACTTGATAAGTTCTGGTCCGGTTCTTCCAAAACCCCTGGAAAAGGGAAAAAAAATCAGAAGGATGAACTGCCGAGCTGTCCATCTTTTCCCATCAAGTGAAATAAGGGAACTGAATGGTCTAAACCAGTGCTATTAGTCATGGTGGCGCAGTGGTTAGAATGCAGTATTGCAGGTGAATTCTGCTGACTGCCGACTGCCAGCAGTTCAATCCTGATCAGCTCATGATTGACTCAGCCTTCTATCTTTCCGAGGTCGGTAAAGTGAGGACCCAGATTGTTGCGGGCAAATAGGCTGACTCTGATTCTATCTGTCTCTCTGTCTATCTATCTCTATTATCTATCTATCTATATCTCTATTATCTATATTAAATATTAAATACTTTATGTCTGTCTGTCTGTCTGTCTGTCTGTCTGTCTGTCTGTCTCTATCTATCTATCTATCTATCTATCTATCTATCTATCTATATCTACACTATCTATCTATCTATCTATCTATCTATCTATCTATCTATATCTACTCTATCTATCTATCTATCTATCTATCTATCTATCTACAGTGTCTGTCTGTCTTTCTGTCTCTGTCTGTCTGTCTGTCTCTATATCTATCTATCTATCTATCTATCTATCTATCTATCTATCTATCTATCTATCTATCTATCTATCTATCTATCTATCTCTGTGGTGGCGATAGATACTCTGCCAACTATCAACAGTTCGATCCTGACCAGCTCAAGGTTGACTCAGCCTTCTATCCTTCCGAGGCTGGTAAAATTAGGACCCAAATTGTTAGGGGGCAACAGGACGACTATGAAAGCCTCTTAGAAAGGGCTGTAAAGCACCGTAAAGCGGTATATAAGTCTAAGTGCTAAGTGCTATTGCTATTAAATATTTAGATCCCATTTTTTGCTTTTTGGGGGGAGCAATGTAAGTGCCTTAATTCCGTTCGTCGCTAAACGTTTCTCTCCCAAATTGGGCAGCAGGGCAGGAAAAATGCTTTGCTTATACCTGACCCCAGGATGGTGGCCCTGGGCTTGTTCTGACGGACAGAACCGATCGAAGATGCTGCGTTGGTGCTGGGGGTCACAGTCCGGCTGTTTCCCTCCCCTTTGCAGTTGAGCTGCAGGCTCGAGTCTTGTGCTGGGATGACCACGGATTTGGCGGTGGAGGGCGGGCTGCGAAAAGCCAGAACGTACTTTTATTTTTTTATTATTATTTTTTTTTATTGAAAAGTTTTATAAAAGTTACAATATAAACCCCAAAACCAACCCCCCCNCAGGGTTACAAATATAATAATCATAATCTAACTAACATTAACCAACTATATAAATAACCAAGTCCGTAATGCGCTTTAACTCACCTTTAACATAAATATTATAATAATAATAATTAAAACATAAAGAAATTAGTATCCTAATTATTAAACAATAGAATATCCATATTGTTAAACAATACTAATACTAAAAGTAATAATAATATCATATAATTAAAACTAATAAAAATTTCACTATAATAAACTATTAGAACAAGGCTGGGGTGGCCATCTTGCACAGCTGTGTTGACCTAGTGGCTAAGGAAACCAGGCTAAAAAGTGGGAGACCGTGAGTTGTAGTTCTGATTTAGGCATGAAAACCAGCTGGGTGACTTTGGGCCAATCACCAGGAGAGGGTGAGTTCTAGTCCCGCCTTAGCCATGAAAGCCAGCTGGGTGACTTTGGGCCAATCACCAGGAGATAGTGAGTTCTAGTCCCGCCTTAGGCATGAAAGCCAGCTGGGTGACTTTGGGCCAATCACCAGGAGACGGTGAGTTCTAGTCCCGCCTTAGGCATGAAAGCCAGCTGGGTGACTCTGGGCCAATCACCAGGAGATGGTGAGTTCTAGTCCCGCCTTAGCCATGAAAGCCAGCTGGGTGACTTTGGGCCAATCACCAAGAGACCGTGAGTTCTAGTCCCGCCTTAGCCATGAAAGTCAGCTGGGTGACTCTGGGCCAATCACCAGGTGACGGTGAGTAATAAAGAGGGGGATACAAACAAATAAATACAATAATTAAAGAACCAGCCAGGTCAAAGTTGGGTAGACAACAGAAGATGGAACAAGAGGGACATTTCAGGAAGCCCCCCCCCAATTTAAGCAAAGTTCTTGAGGAAGGCAGAATAAAAACAAAATCAAACAATGGGGATATAATCAAACCACCCAACCCAAGAGCAGAAATCTCGGAATGAGGATGGGAAATAAAAGTACCAGCTGGCACCGGAAACCGAACGGATTTGGCAATCTGGAAATAGGCTGAAATGTCCTCTTTTCTTCCCCCCCCCTTTGGAAAAAAAAAGGGAAGGGGGCTTGTGAAAAGGGTCCCTAGCCAGTCAGGGCTCCCAGCAAGGTGTTTCGTTGACAGCTTCACACTCCAGTTTGACGTCGGAGGACCTCAACCGTGCCGGTGACAAGGTCAGTCTTGCAAAAACCGCCTACGCAACAGGTTGTTTCTTCTCCTGCTGCCTTGGTTACCGGTATGGAACTGCCAACACCCTTTGCCCACAAGCATGCCACACCCCTGCCAGGTATGTCTGAGCTCTGCTGGCAGGTAATCAGGCAGCCACCTCTTTGCACAGTCAACAGCCACACACCTGTTCCTTTTTTCGACGATTAAAAATATATATATCTACTTTTCACAAATTCAGGCGAATAAACCTGTCTGAGGATAATGTCGCAGGATCCAATCTGGGTCAGTCGCTGGGGAACCCATCTTTAAAGAACTTCTCTCTAACAGAGTGTGTGCTAGCCTGTGTGTGGTATTTGTAGTGTGTGTGGCTTTTTAGATGTGGATTGGGCGGTGTGGATGGATGGCTTGTAAGTTGCTGGCTGTTGTTTGCTTGTGCGGCCCAGCCCTTGCCTCCTAAGTGCTTGGTAGGCTGGTGGTAAAGGGCTTGTTTCCCACTTCCCTGGCTGTTTGTGTGCTTGCCCATCCAACAATCTTAAAAGCCAATGACTTAAAAGCCAGCCATCAACACAACCCAATCAACACCTAAAAAGCCACATAGAACAGGCACTATAAATACCACATACAGCACACGCTCTGCTAGAGGGGTAAGATACGATATAAGATAGATAAGGTAAGGTAAGATGATACGGTAAGATAATGTCAAGGTAATGATTGAAAAGCTAACCAGCTGATGTAATGTGAGATGTATGATGTAATGACGGGAATTACTCAGCAGGGTCTGTGTCCCTTTAAGAGCTTTGTATAAAAAGGAAGGTGCCACAGATGTGTGCTCTCTCTTCTGCTTCCTTGCTGTAACTGCTGCATGTGGGAGCCTGCTGTATTAGCACGTGTACGTAAATTGTTCTTGGTGTATGATATTGTAGATAGTGCAAGTGATAAACCACCATGTAATATAGACCATTGTTTACTGTGTTTACTCCTGGGTTATCTCGCGCAATAAGACTGTGCATGCTCTTGACAGATAAGATAGGATGAGATGATAAGATTTATTGTCATTTTTTATTTTATTATTAAAAATGAAATCTCTTGCCTGTTCTCAAAAGCGTACACCTATATAGCGCACATAGAAACGCGCTATGTACAACATATGTATATAGCTATACCCTTACATATAGATACGTATAAATATTAATCACTATCCCGGTCACAGTTCCCTGCAGATGGGCTTCAGCACAAGTCCGAAAGCTCGGAAGACAAAACTTTTGTTCCTGGTGACCAAGCCAGATTGGATCCTCTTTACAGTTCTCCTTTCCAATCTCCCCCATCCAAGGCTAGTGGTTGTCACCAGCAGGAGGGGGTTTTTTGGTTTGTTTTAGGATAGGACATCAAGAGCTACAGAGATAGCCTGGCCTTTGAAGCCCCTTTCCCCAAAAGTTTCTAAGCTTCCCCCAAAGACTCACGTTTTGAAACAAGGGTCTCCGGATAAGAGGGTCATGCCAATCGTGACCTGCCAAAGAAGGAAGACGAGAGAGGGAGAAGGAAAAGTCATGAAAAACAACCTGCAAGGAAAAATATAGCCAGCCAAATAAATAAATTAAAACACAGGGGCTCTCAAGGAGGATCTGAAGGCAGGACAAGAAGCAACGGATGGAAATGAATCAAGGAGAGAAGCAACCTGGAACTAAGGAGGAATATCTTTTCATTGTGAGAACAATTAATCAACGGGACGGCTTGCCTCCAGAAGTTGTGGGTGCTCCATCACTGGAGGCTTTTAAGAACGACCCTGTATTCGTTTTGTTAAATTTATTTGCCACCTATCTCACTACGGGGCTACTACTTTTTAGTGAAGACATCTCCAGCACATCTCTCGCTGCCCATCAGCCCCATCCTAAGGTCCTCCAGACTTACCTTCAAGATGGAATTGTCCTGCCTGGTGTTCTTGGTGTCGTATCCTTCCAACAGGCAACATCGGGCGGTGAGGCCAGAGCCTGCGAATTCAGCCAAGTTCAGGTCGGTGAAGCCGAGCTGTAAAAAACAACAAATTGGGGGGACCAAGATGATGAAAAGCTGCACATTCCAGGTGAATCAAAATTTACAATCTCTTGTCCCTTCCAGGAAGAACCATTTCACCCTCCTAACCTTGACTTTTTGTTTTGTTTTCCAGAAAAACCCAGATCATCCTGGGAAAGAATCAGGATTATTGGTCTGGCAAGGAAATGTCTATGGAATTCTCAGTCCTCCAGGTTACGATTGTCCCAAAGGTGCTTTTTTTTTCAAGAGGCAACTATGGACTTTCTACTTTTTGCCTTTGAAGACACATCTACTCCAAGAAGCTTCTTCAGCTCCGACTGGATGGTGGATTGATATTCCTGACAGCTCCATACCCATTTGCACTGCTCAGGTGACCCTGAGGACGCAGGTGAACCTCCAAGTGGCCTCCACGACTCTCTAAAAGAGGGCAAATGACCAGCGGTCTGCAAGGAGTATAAATCCTTCCATCCTCCAGAGCTGAAGAAGCTTCTGGGATGAGAAGCAAAACGTCTTCAAAGAAAAACAAGAAAGTCCAGTTGCCTCCTGAAAAAAAAGCACCTTTGACACCATGACCTGGATGACTGAGATTCTCCAGAGACATTTAGCCATGCACCTTGGGATGAACACCCTTCGAATGGGGCGGGAGTATGAACAGATTCCCAGAAAACATCGTAGACTCCAGGAACGGTTTGCGCTTCAGTTTGAGATTCAGACAACCCAGACTCATCCCCAACAGCCTGCGCCCGTCTCCAACAAGGAAGGGACCCAGGGCAGAAGACATCCTGCAGCCAAGAAGGCTCCACACCCATTCACACCACTTAGGGGACCCTGAAGACACAGGTAAACCTCCAAGTGGCCTCCACGACTCTCTAAAAGAAGACAAATGACCAGCTGTCTGCAAGGAGTATAAATCCTTCTATTCTTCACCATCCAGTCAGAGCTGAAGAAGCTTCTTGGATGAGAAGTGAAACGTCTTCAAAAACAAACCCCCAGAAGGTCCAGTTGCCTCCTGAAAAAAAGCACCTTTGGGACACCTGGCAAGCAAAGTGTTAAAATCACCCGGAGAGGTTGCATAACCAAGGACAGCCAAACAAGCCAGGTCAGTGATGTGGAAAATGTTCACTCCCATGTATGTGTACACAAATATAATAAGGCACTCTTTGTCCTAAGCTCATCCCGGAATACATGGAGGGAGAGAGAGAGAGAGAGAGAGAG